AGCTCTGCTTAAGGGGCTCAGTGAGGCATTACCTTGGCCAGTCCAGTGCTGCCTGGTGGATCTGGTGCCTTTTCCTTACTCCCCAAACATGTCCCAGCTTTTCCCAGCAGCCCAGGATGCTGTCAGGTGCCTCCCCCAGCCATATGGTCCCTCGTGATATATATATAAATAAACATATGTATATATATAAATAAGCATATAAATATATATGCATAGATAAAGATGAATGTGTAAATATGTATCTCCTTCCATTGCAGCCTTGGTAGGAGGCTGTGCTGATGAAGGTGATCATTCTTCTTCAGGAGCTGTCGTGACAGGACATGGAGTAATGGGTTCAAATCAGGGGAAATTTAGCTTAGATCTATGGAAAAAAAAACTTCCCTGGGAGGGTGGGCAGCCCTGGCACAGGGTGCCCAGAGCAGCTGGGGCTGCCCCTGGATCCCTGGCAGTGCCCAAGGCCAGGCTGGACACTGGGGCTGGAGCACCTGGGACAGGGGAAGGTGTCCCTGCCATGGCAGGGGGGGCACTCGGTGGGATTTGGGGTCCCTTCCCACCCAAACCATTCTGGGGTTTTGTGATTCCTTTCTCACATGAAATTTGATCCCTGATCTTCGAGGAGCTGCATTCCTGCCTTGTTCTTTCCAGCAAAGCTGCCGTTTTCCACAAGCCGGGAGTGCCCAGAGGCACGAGCGTCAGCGCTCCATCCGTTACCATTTTTTCAAGGGCTGCTGTCCCAGTTTTACAGCTCTCTGGAACAATTCCGTGTCTGCGGCGGGGTGAGGGAGGGGTGACCGTGCCGTGTGCGGGGCCTGCGGGAGCCCCGGCACGGCGGGGGCAGCCGCGCCCCGCGGAGCGCTCCGGCACCGGGCGGCGAGCGGAGCAGAGCAAAGGAAAAGCAAAGCAAAGGAAAAGCAAAGCAAAACAAAGCAAAGCAAACAAACCCTTTTGGCAGCATCCCAGGGTTTCCGAGCCCCCCAGGGGCTCCCCTGGTGTCTCTGCACATCCACAGTGATGTGCTGAGATCCCACAAAGCGGCGTCTGGAAAACCCAGTGTCAGCCGCTCCTTCTTCCTCTTCCGCCGTCTCTGTCTCTTTTCAGAATTGCTTCTGAAGTCCTTGGGGTGCTGTTGTCACCTGTGAGCAGCATCCCCCGTCTCCAGGCTCGGGGGGACAGAGGAGCCGCCTGACCTGCAGGATTTGCTCTGTGCAAGGTGTCCCTGCCCGCGGCGGGGCTCGGGACGAGAGGAGCCCAGGGCAGCCAGGGATTCTCTGCCCTGCCGGCCGGGCTGGGAAGGGTTAACCCTTTCCCCGCACAGTGGCTGCGCCAGGGAGGGAATTCAGCTGCTGCTGGGGCCTGGGGAGAAGAGACACGGAGCAGGGGATGGAGAAGGGACAGAGAATGGGGGATTCTCTCCGTTCTAGCCATTGGCCGGGCTGTTCTCTTCCCTCGTGCGCTCCCCAGGCATTCCCCGTCCGGCTGGCGCTGCTCCCGTGCCTGGGTGGGAGATGGGAGCAGGGACACGGGGCCAAGGAGGGGGCACGGGAAGGGCCAGGGCAGCCCCCTCCCACCTACGGGCACCACGTCCTTCGTGCCGCCTCTCGTCCCCCGGGGAGGTGGAATTTGGCTCCGCGGTTATTAACTTGTCCTCTCAGAGTTTGTCACATGAGGCAAATTTTAAATTCATCATTCCTCACGATCATCACCATATTCTGAGTGTTACCCAAAGCTGTTAGGGGAGTACTGCTTAAGGAAAATTAATTGTTTGATCTGTGGCACAGTCTGGAGAAAACAGTACATTTAACACTTAATAAATTATCTCTTTTTTTTCAGGGAAAAAACAGTAACTGGCTAAGCCTACTCCAAGTTAGACTTAACTGAGAGCTGCTTAACAACCCAGCACAACCTATGGAATAGAAATGTTGTAGATTGTGGGATTAAAAATCCCATATGGAGGAGAGGACCACAGCTGTAGTTAAACCTTGTGTTTATTTTATTCTGTAGGTACCTGCACCGCTGGAGTTTCTAAAGCTATGAAGAAAACCCTTGATACTGAAATTCTTCAGCCTCTTCCTGCTCTTGTACATCAACCATGTTTTAACCCAGCACAGGGAGCTCAGCTGCAGAAACAGAAGAAAGGGAGTTGGTCAGAGAAGCGTGGTGTTTGAACCAAAGGGATGCGATGTTCTAAGGCCAAGGTTGTGGATTTTGGTATCAGCATATGATTCTATCATGGAATTGATTTAACAAGCTCCGATTCTACCAGATACCAATACCAGTGCTGGGATTCTGGGATGAGCTGCGTTTTTGCTTCTGCATTTCACACCTAAAACGAGTTCATTTTGAGTTCTGCTGAAATACTTCTTGTCTTAAAGTACTGTATTCACTGGAAGCCGTGCAGGTGGTGGTTGAGGTGACAAAGGGCACGTTAGGAGCTGGCTTGAGTCCATCTCGTGGCTCTTCATTCAGGATGTGCTCTTGCCCAGCGTGTCCGTGTGTCTCAAATACCGGTTCTGTTTTCCGATTAACTTCCTTGATCCTGGGTGTTTTGAGTACAAATCCAATTGTACAGGACAGGTGTGTGTGTAAATAAGGGATTGTGCTTATCTGTATGTCACTATAAATATGTATGAAATTATGTACATAGGAAAGAGAAAATGGCTCAAAGAATGTTTCCAGAACTGTTTCCTCCGTTTAAATGCACAGACAGGAGATGGCCATCCATGTGCTCCCTCTCTCCGGGAAGGATTCCGCTGGTTCTGCTCGCTGCCCGCATCCCGCCGGCTCTGGGAGGAGTTTTTTGGTAGCCCGGGCCGGGGCTGGGCTCTGTGTGAGGAGTTTTTTGGTGGCCCGGGCTGGGCTCTGTGTGAGGAGTTTTTTGGTGGCCCGGGGCCGGGGTGGGCTCTGTGTGAGGAGTTTTTTGGTAGCCCGGGGCCTGGCTGGGCTCTGTGTGAGGAGTTTTTTGGTGGCCCGGGGCCGGGCTGGGCTCTGTATGAGGAGTTTTTTGGTAGCCCGGGGCCGGGCTGGGCTCTGTGTGAGGAGTTTTTTGGTGGCCCGGGGCCGGGCTGGGCTCTGTGTTCTGCTGAAATACTTCTTGTCTTAAAGTACTGTATTCACTGGAAGCCGTGCAGGTGGTGGTTGAGGTGACAAAGGGCACATTAGGAGCTGGCTTGAGTCCATCTCGTGGCTCTTCATTCAGGATGTGCTCTTGCCCAGTGTGTCCGTGTGTCTCAAATACCGGTTCTGTTTTCCGATTAACTTCCTTGATCCTGGGTGTTTTGAGTACAAATCCAATTGTACAGGACAGGTGTGTGTGTAAATAAGGGATTGTGCTTATCTGTATGTCACTATAAATATGTATGAAATTATGTACATAGGAAAGAGAAAATGGCTCAAAGAATGTTTCCAGAACTGTTTCCTCCGTTTAAATGCACAGACAGGAGATGGCCATCCATGTGCTCCCTCTCTCCGGGAAGGATTCCGCTGGTTCTGCTCGCTGCCCGCATCCCGCCGGCTCTGGGAGGAGTTTTTTGGTAGCCCGGGCCGGGCTGGGCTTTGTGTGAGGAGTTTTTTGGTAGCCCGGGGCCGGGCTGGGCTCTGTGTGAGGAGTTTTTTGGTGGCCCGGGGCCGGGCTGGGCTCTGTGTGAGGAGTTTTTTGGTAGCCCGGGGCCGGGCTGGGCTCTGTGTGAGGAGTTTTTTGGTGGCCCGGGCTGGGCTCTGTGTGAGGAGTTTTTTGGTGGCCCGGGCCGGGCTGGGCTCTGTGTGAGGAGTTTTTTGGTGGCCCGGGACGGGCTGGGCTCTGTGGGAGGAGTTTTTTGGTGGCCCGGGGCCGGGGTGGGCTCTGTGTGAGGAGTTTTTTGGTAGCCCCGGGCCGCCCCCGCCCCAAACCCGCCGCCCTGCGTGCGCCAGGCAGGACTGCTTGCTCCAGCTGCTGGAGGATGTGGCTGAGCCGTGTCGGGTCTCGGCTGCTCCCTCCTCGCTCTGGCCCCTGTGCATCTCTCACAAACACCGTCTCCGAGCCCCGGGACCGCGGTGGGGCAGTGGCCCGGCCCGGGGCGCTCCCTCAGCCCCTCCGTGCCCGGTGCGGGGCAGCAGCCGGAGCCGGGGGTGCCCCGGGCCGCCCCCGCCAGGCAGGACTGCTTGCTCCAGCTGCTGGAGGATGTGGCTGTTATTCCCAGTATTCTGCTCTGTATCTGTAGCCTTCAGTGATTCCTTGAGTGCCTTACATGGCTTGTGGACAGAATTCCTGACCAGGAGGAGAAAATGCCCCTGGAGCGACGCCGGCTCCTTCGCACCCCTGTCCCCCGAGCTCCTCGCCGGCAGCGTGCACAGGAAGAGATTTAGCTTCGACTCAGGAAATCGCCGTGTGAATATGTGTATTAAACCCTGTATGATGTGCTGTACAGTTTATTAAAAGGGACTATTGTAAACTTATGCAAAATGTAACACAGAGAAGATGGAGGTTTTTGGTCCACTGGCTGGCGTGCCGTGACCCGTGTCCTCTAATTTTAGTCCAGAATCATATCCAAAATACAGAACGCTGGGTTCAGTGCTGTGACAGCAACCGACAGCCCGAAAACAGGGGCTGGAGCGATCGACTAGAGAATTTTACAGATATTTTTGTATTGTGATTCCTATGATATATATCGAGAGACTTTCTATTCCTTTGTAAAATACATAAATTATTGTCAACTTTTAATTAAAAAGATCTGTTTTAAACCTTCAAACTGGTTTGGGGTTGAGGGGATGGGGAAGCTGGGCCGTGACACGGGAGATGGCCGGAGGGCTCGGGCGGGGGGCGTTCACCCGGTCCCGGCGGCAGCCAACCCCGCGCTGTCTCTGCCATCGCAGACGCCGGAGATGTCACCTCGCGGTCGTACGTGGGGACGGGCACGGGTGGATGGGCACCGGGAGGGGCGGGGGGTCCTTGGGAGGCTCTTAACGCGGCGCTGGGCTCTCCCGCGGCTGCGGGAGCGCAGCGGCAGCGGGGCAGCGCCGGGCCCATGTCGGGGCGGCAGGAGGAGCCTCTGCCCGCCTGCTTTGCGGGGCTGGGTGCGGGCAGCCCGCGGCCGCGGCAGAAGCGCGGCGGGATGTTCTGCAGCGTGGAGGATGCCTTCGACAACAAGACGCTGAACTTCGCCTCGCTCGCTGCCTCCGGCACAGCAACACCCGTCGGGGGGCACCGCCGCGACACCCACCCGGGACCGAGCCCCGACGCGGGACCGAGCCCCGGCCCCGACCCCGGTTCCGACCCCGGGCCCGGCCCCGCCGCGTCCTCGCTGCCCCCGAGAGCTCCGGCTGCGCTGCCCGACGGCTGCCTGCAGGTAACGGGACTGCGCCGGGACACGGGCCGGGGGCGCCTCGGCGAGCCGGCCTGGCCGAGACCGCGCCGGGAGGGCGAGCGGGGACCCGTGCGGCTGTCCCCCTGCCGTCCTGTCCCATCCCGTCCCGTCCCATCCCGTCCCGCGGAGCTGGGCCATCCCCGCGGGGCGGGTTTGAGCGGGGCACGGGGCGCCATCCTGTCCCCCTGCCGTCCTGTCCCATCCCGTCCCGTCCCATCCCGTCCCGCGGAGCTGGTCCATCCCCGCGGGGCGGGTTTGAGCGGGGCACGGTGCGAGGGCGCCGAGCGGCCGCCTTTCTCCCGGGGGACACGGCTGTGAGCGCCCCGTCGCCCCCGGCCCGCCCGCGGCGGAGGCGGCGGCGATGTCGCAGCCGGGCAGGAAGAGCGTGAGCCGCGCCACGGTGAGGGCTCCCCGCGGGGCGAGGGCTGCGGGACCGCGGGGGCTGCCGGCCGGGGGTCGCTCCGGCCGGCGGAGACGGAGCGGGGCGGGCGGTCTCGCACAGCCGGGGAGCGCCGCGGGCTCCTGCCCGCCCCGGGGTGCCGGTGCCGGCGGTGCCGTTGCCGGCGGTGCCGTTGCCCGGTGGTGCCGTTGCCGCCGGTGCCCCGGGGCCGAGCCCCTGCCCTGTGCCCCTCGCAGCCTGCCCGCTCCGCTCCGCTCCGCTCCTTTGTTGCGCGGCCCGGCCGGAGCCCGGCTGTCCCGGCGCTTTGTCCCGGGGCCGCCCGGGGGACAAAGGCGGGCGGGCTCGGCCGCGGGGCTGCCCCGCCGTGCCCCGGTTCCCTGTGCCGCCGGGGCCGGAGATGTGCTCCGGGCACGCTTTCATCGCGGGATGGGCTTGGCGGCGTGAGAGCATCCCGCAGCCGGGCTCTGCTCCCCGCCTCTGCCCGGGGTCCCCGCCAGCGCTCCCCGGTCCCCCCGCGGCTCCCCCGGCCCCGGCCGCGCTGCGTGGGAGGGGATTCCCTCCTGCCGGCGCTTCCCGGCAGGAGCCGGGAGAAATCCCTCGATTGCGATGCCTGGTGTTTTGTTTTCTCTCCTCTTGCTGGCTCGTGGCAGAACTGCCTTGGGAGAAGCCCGGTGGGTGCGGGAGCCAGGGACCAGCCCCGTTACTGGCTGCGGGAGCGGATCCTGGGTGTGGGGTGGGCATGGGGGGAGGATGAGGGTGAGGACGGGGTGACGATGGGGATGGGGTGAAGATGGGCCCCACAAGGGGAGGGGCAGTCAGGCTCTCCCGTGGGGCAGCAACACTGAGGCTTCTTTTGATTGATGTTATGGGACAAGGGGAAACAATAAGGACAATAAGTCCTTGACAGTTAGGAAAAAAACCAAAACAGTAATGCACTTGTTTATATGCCAGCGATGCTCTTTTAAACAAGCTCCAAAATGTTTCCAGGCAGTTTTGCCTCCGGACCCGGCTCTTTGTGGTGCAGCATCTCCAGGCTGTGCTCCACGTGCTCAGGCGTCCCTCGGCTGGTTTTGTGCCAGGCCATGCTCTTTGTGTTGCCCATTTCAGCACTGGAAATAATTTTTCAAGCAACACCAGAGAGCAGGAAAGGAATCCTCTGAAATTAGGCTGCAGCTCTACATAGACATCAGTGCTGCTGCTTCCTAAATTTTCTAGTTAAAGATTCTGGATGAAGATTCTGCAAATCTGAAAACTGTGCCAGTGTCTGGCTTTGAAGTGAGGCAAGTCCTCGAGGCTTTATCTGCCTCTGCCGAGACTGTGAAAGCGAATGAATGGCAATAAATTACCAGGTTAATGAGATGCACTGAGAAGCCTGTAGCCGGAGCTGAGGCAGGAACACGGCTCAGCCCTTGGAGCTGGGGGTGCCCAGGGCTGCAGGGCTCAGCCATGCACCCCTGGCTCCTGCCACCCTTCACACAGCTGGGCTCCTCCAAATGGCAGTTTCGTATGGTTTGCAAATGTAGTTGTAGAATAGTCTGGATAGTCACTGAACTTGAGTGATTGGAGGGAAAACACTAACCCTAGATTTACTTAAAGCTTGGAATGAGTAAAGTGGAATCCAAACAAAAAAAATATTTTTAAAACTGTGGATTTTTTTTCCCATTAGAGAGACCACATTCTGATCAAAGGAGGAAAAATTGTCAACGATGATCAGTCATTTTATGCAGACATTTATGTGGAGGATGGCTTAATAAAGTAAGTTAAAAATTTATATTTGCTAATGTAATTTCTTAGAATGATGCAATGCCTTGGGATTTGAACAAGGTTCCTTCCCATAATTTTTTTCTTCAAAATCTTTTAGAAAAATGAAGGCAGCATTTCAGAGCAGTGTCAGGAAAGAGCTACACTGGCGTAGCTGCAGCTGGAAAGACTTGCAAAAGCACTGGCAGCCTGGGGAGGAGCAGCAGAGGTTGTTTTGGCATCCTCGCTCCAAAGCTGTTGCCAGTTAAGAGATGCTGCTTTCCTTTGCAGACAAATCGGAGAGCACCTGGTGATTCCCGGCGGCACCAGGACCATCGATGCCCACGGGCAGCTGGTGATGCCGGGCGGCATCGACGTGCACACGCGGCTGCAGGCGCCCGTCATGGGCATGAGCTCGGCCGACGGCTTCGCCCAGGGCACCAAGGCAGCGCTGGCAGGAGGCACCACCATGATCAGTAAGGGGGGGAGCAGTCCCAACAGGCTGCTGCTTTCCAGCAGAACACGCCGGGCCTGGAGTCACTGCAGGGATGTTTGTTTGCCTTCATAGCTCAGACATGTCAAGAATGTCAATGTCAAATCCGAACACCACACAGCTAATTGAAGGTGTTGTGTACTGTGCAGAACCTCCTTCCCTTGCTGCACATGGGTATTAAAAATACACATGTATATTAAAAAAATCTGCTCCTGCCTCACCTCGTCAGAGAGCAAGACAGAAGAACACTTTAAACACTTTTTAATATGTTTTTAACAGCTCTGCAAGTGTGGGGCATTTTTGAGTTTCTCAGCTTTAAGCACAGGCTCTGTTTTTGTGTTAATGTAAAATAATTTTGCTCTGTGTTCTGTTCCTATTCCATTCCCAAGAACCACTGCACTGTGTGACTGCAGGACCAGTCTCAACAGTCCCGGCACAGCTCCCCAGCGAGCCCACGGCCAGTGCTGCAGGGAGGGGAGCAGAGCTGGGGGAAGTGACGGGCAGTGGGGGCTGCCCTTGGGAGCTGCCCCAGAGCAGAATCCTCTGCAGCCCTCACGGTGCTGTGCTGGCTGACAAACATGCCAAAGCCAGCCCTGGGGTTTGCTTGTTGCACTTGTGTCACTGTGTGTGGGAGATCCTTGCCCCGTGTTCCTCTGCAGTGCCGTAATGAGCTGGCCGTGCCGTGGCCGGGGCGCGGTGCCCGGCGTGCCCCTGTCCCTGATGTGTGTGTGTCCCCCCCCTGACACGCGTGTCCCCGCAGTTGACCACGTGTGCCCGGACGCGGGGAGCAGCCTCCTGGCCGCCTACGAGCAGTGGCGCGACTGCGCCGACAGCGAGGCCTGCTGCGACTACAGCCTGAGCGTGGACATCCCGCGCTGGCACGAGAGCCTGAGGGAGGAGCTGGAGGCCCTGGTCAAGGACAAGGGTAAGGAGAGGGACCCGCGGGGTCACTGCAGGGTCCTGGGGTGGCGGTGGCAGCGCCGCTGTCCCCAGCACCCAGCGCTCCTGCCCGTGGAGCTGGGACCTCCCCGTCCTTGGCCATCCAGGATGGAGCTGTGGACGGGGATGTGGGCACCGAGTTCCTGCCATAACATCTGGGTCTGTGCCCTCACCTTTGGGCAGTTGGCAGCATGGTCATGGAAAGGAGTTTTGGAAGCTGAAGGAGTAGGGTTGGCCACCCTGACGTGGGCTGCCAGACGTGCAGGCGAAACGTTCAAAGGAAAACCTCTGAGACAGGGCTCAGAGAAGGAAACTCAGCTTTAAGCACTCCGTAGTGGTTCCGTTGTGCCTGTAACTCCTGTGCATCCCGAGGTATCCCTGGGACATGGCTGGCTGGAAAGCAGGAAAGTAGACCACGGCAGGGATTCATGCATTCATTAATACCTATTGCTGTGTTTGGAGCTACACTTTCCTTCAGATATGCTAATGCAGAGCTAAATGTCTTCAGTGTAATTTGTAGTCTTGCAAGCAAGGGTTTAATTGGCCAATTACCATAGAAATTCACAGTGAATTTCCTATTAAAATGCAGAGTGACTGAAGTAATGGAGCTGTTCCTTGGAACACATATGAAATACAGGTGTAATTTGATCATGGTTTGGTGTTGCTTATTGCCTCTCTCCATACAAAATACAGCAGCAATTCATAGAATCATGGAATGGTTTGGATTGGAAAGGACCTGATCACATTCCCTGCCATGGCAGGGACACCTTCCCCTGTCCCAGCTGCTCCCAGCCCCAGTGTCCAGCCTGGCCTTGGGCACTGCCAGGGATCCAGGGGCAGCCCCAGCTGCTCTGGGCACCCTGTGCCAGGGCCTGCCCACCCTGCCAGGGAACAATTCCTCATTCCCAATATCCCATCCATCCCTGCTCTCTGGCAGTGGGAGCCATTCCCTGTGTCCTGTCCCTCCATGCCCTGTCCTGCCCCTTGTCCAAATTTGAGAATAAGGTGTAGACTGAAGCCACCATTGGAGGAAAACCAGCCTGGGAGTGAGGCAGCTGAGTGTGCATTCAGAGCCAGTCACAGAGGGTACCTAACCCCAAACACGGACCACAAGGGGTTTCATTTTTTGGTTCAAGTGCACCATAAAGTAGGGGTGTATTGTCTTTCACAACTCCCAAGCTTTGGGGTCTGTGGGGACATAAATTTGAGAATAAGGCGTAGACTGAAGCCACCACTGGAGGAAAACCAGCCTGGGAGTGAGGCAGCTGAGTGTGCATTCAGAGCCAGTCACAGAGGGTACCTAACCCCAAACACGGACCACAAGGGGTTTCATTTTTTGGTTCAAGTGCACCATAAAGTAGGGGTGTATTGTCTTTCACAACTCCCAAGCTTTGGGGTCTGTGGGGACATTTCCCACATCAGCCCTTGGCTTTGCTTTGCTTCCAGCACAACCCCCTGGTCCAACCACCCAGCCCACAGCAGGGCAGTGACAAAGGGACCAAGCCACACGTGTCATTTTCTTTTTTCAAGGTGTGAACTCCTTCCTGGTGTTCATGGCTTACAAGGACAAGCTGCAGTGCTCTGATGGCCAGGTAGGACACTGGAACGCAGGGAAAGCCACGGCCTCGCTCCCAGCCAGGTGGGTGGTGGGGGGCTCACCTGGGCACCCGCTGTGTCTCGGCAGATGTACGAGATCTTCTGCACCATTCGGGACCTGGGGGCCATCGCCCAGGTGCACGCGGAGAACGGAGACATCATCGAGGAGGTACCGTGTCCCCTGGGAGCCAGGGGGGACCAGGGCCCTGGGGAGGAGACCCCCTGCCCCTGCCCCTGCCCGGGGGGCTGGAGCCCCAAAGCCTTGCAGGGAACGGGACCCTGTGTAGCAGCAGATGCAGGCAGAGGAACGTGCAGGAGCATCAGGGTGTCCTGTGGAATCATCAGAGTCCTCATGGATCTTCACATGTGCTTGGGTTCCCAAAAAGCACTTTGGGGGCTCCTAAGGGGTGACTGACTGCCTTAAGTGATGCTTTATCCCATTATCTGTCGTGTTTAGGAGTTTGGTTTACTTGCAAAAATCGGGAGGTTTGAGGCTTTTACAGTAATGTCCTTGACACTGGCAGTGTTTAACCCCACCATCAGCACTTGGGAATTCCTTGGTGTTGCAGCCTCTGCTCATGGGCCTTCTTTTTGCTTTTTACCTGTAGAAAAGACAGTCTTGGCTCCAGCGTGGGTCAGATACACAAGTGGAGTTAGACTGGCAGTTCCTTAGGCTCACGGTCACGCCAGCCTTCAGTCTGGTGTGGGAGGAAGGCTGAACTGAAAGCCACATCAAATCCTTCAAATGGGTTTAGTTGAACAAACAGGATAAAGGCTAATTCCCACCTCCTGGGATTTTATCTGGAACCTGTTCCTCAGCTGGCTGTGGAGCCAGGCAGCTCATAGCTGCAGCAGTGTTTCTGCAAGCTGCCAGCGTGGTGACACTTGAGCCCTGGGGACAAACTTGGAGGAGATCTGTGACAAGAACACAGACAGGCAGGCTCTAAGAGCAGGGTCCTTTGAGGATCCGGTGGGATCTGCTCCGTGGTGTTGGATTACATCCCTGCTTTAGTGCCAGCTGCCTGGGAGGTTACATGATACAGAGCAGCAGAGGGACAGGGTGAGGTGTGTGCTGGACATCTGCGTTCAGACGCCATGGGAGTGACCTGGGACATCCCAGAGCTCATCTCAGCATCTGTCACTGCAGGTTCTCTTTCCTCTGTGCCACATGGTGAGGTGCAAAGGGACAGGAGTGTTTGGGAGATGTGGCACTTGCTGCACCCCAATGACAGTCTCACATCCCTGTGCCCATCCCTGCCTCCTGCAGGGGCTCCTGAGCAGCTCCAGCAGGCTCAGGTGGTGGGATCCCTCTCCCTTTGCTGTAGCTGTGCACCAGGGCTGGGGCAGAACCCTGGGTTTGGGGGGTGGGAAGGTCCAGAGGTGCTGCTGGGACACAGCAGCTCCCATGCAGGAGCATTTCTGCAGCACAGGACAGGTGGCCCCGGGGAGTGGGATGTCCCAGGGGAGTGTCCCGTGACCCACCTGCTCGGGTGGGTTCATCACTTGGCCCCTGCCCTCGGGTGGCTCTGGACAAGGTGTGCTGTGTGCCTTGGTGCTCCAGCGGGCTGTGCCCATCACTGACTGCTCTCTCCTTCCTCCTCGCCCCCCAGGAGCAGAAGAAGCTGCTGGAGCTGGGGATCACAGGCCCGGAGGGGCACGTCCTCAGCCGCCCCGAGGAGGTAACGCCGCCAGCCCTCGTGCCAAGCTCCAGGCCTGCCGTGCAGAGGGGCTGGGACACCTGTGTCATGGGACACCCGTGTCCTGGGGCACCTGTGTCATGGGACACCCATGTCCTGGGACACCCGTGTCGTGTTCTTGTGCCCACAGGTGGAGGCAGAGGCCGTGTTCCGTGCCATCACCATCGCCAGGCAGGCCAACTGCCCCCTCTACATCACCAAGGTCATGAGCAGGGGGGCTGCAGATGTCCTGGCTCAGGCCAAGAGGAAAGGTAACACTGGCCTGCACAGCCAAACACTGAACCTCTAAATCCAGCCAGGAATCTCATCTGACTGTGAGGTCTGAGGAGTCCTTATCTCCTGAGCTCCCCCACACTCTGAGGGCGCTGAGGCTTGTGCTGGTTTCCATGGTAGGGTGTGCCAGAGGTAATTGCTTGGAGCTGGGAAGATTGGATGTGTTGGAAACTGTGACACTTCCATCTAGGCAGACACAGCTGAGAAACGGGGAGTAATCCACTTGTGATCGTTTGGTGTGAACTGAACGAAAAACAGATGTGGAGCAAGCTCCAAATTGTGGCTGGGGGTGGAGTGGGAAGGGCTGGGATCAATGCTGTGGGGAGCAGGGTGGAAGGGAGAGCACAGTCACCACTTCCCCCAGCCCGGTGGCTGCCAGACAGACACAGGTTTGCTTTAAAGGAAAGCATGACAGCTCGTAGGAATGTGTGCCTGGTGTAAGGAGAGGACAGGCAGATCCAGGACTTGCTTTGACAGTGTCTCCCAGTCACCTGAGATAATCTAAAGGATTAGCGAGACTCGGAAGTGCTGGCAGTGCTGAAGGAGTGGGAGTGCTGTGTGTGGTTATGGCAGCTGCCCCTGACTGACAGCACCTTGCTGTGCAGGCACCGTGGTGTACGGGGAGCCCATCACGGCCAGCCTGGGCGCCGACGGCTCCCACTACTGGAGCAAAAACTGGGCCAAAGCCGCCGCCTTCGTCACGTCCCCCCCGCTCAGCCCCGACCCCAGCACGCCCGATCACCTCAGCACTCTGCTGGCCAGGTGGGTCCAGTGTCACACCTGGGCAGGTGTCACACCTGCCATTTACAGCGCTGGCCTCGCCCGTGGTGCCCCCACGGTCTGCCCAGCAAGGGGGGCTTCGCTGGCCTGGGGGTGCCATCAGTGCCTCCCTCCCTGAGCCCGCCCTGTCCTTTCCCCAGCGGGGACCTGCAGGTCACTGGCAGCGCCCACTGCACCTTCACCACCGCACAGAAGGCCGTGGGCAAGGACAACTTCACCCTGATCCCCGAGGGCACCAACGGCATCGAGGAGAGGATGTCCATGGTGTGGGAGAAGTGCGTGGTAGGTGCTGCAGGGCAGCTGGACGGGAGCACACGTGAGCTGTGCCTGGGCTCCAGGCTGTCACAGCCTCCTTAGTGCAGACAAGCCAGAGCGGTGACACTGTCTAGACACTGCTGCAGCTTCAGAGAGCTGCTGCCGAGAGACTGAGACACACAAATGCCTTCAAAGGCTGCTGTGCAGGGACCCCCCTCCGCTCTCGCTCAGTCACCAGGGAGTCTCTGCAGCACCTTCTCCCAAGGGTGATGGGGTGCTCCTGTCCCCTCGGGCTCACAGAGCCCTGCGGAGGTGGATGGGGAGAAGGTGTCTCTCCCGTGGGACATGGCTGTGGCCATGCTTCCAGCTGCAGGTCACCCCAGTCTCCGTGTCACCTCAGTGTCTGCCTGGCAGCAGGGCTGTGACCCGAGGCTGGGATCAGTCCGTGTCCCTGCACCCCAGTGCACGCTTCCCTGCCAGCATCCCTGCATGTGGGGGGCTCTATCCTGCATCCCACAGAGCAGATGTCCCTGTGCAGGCTGCAGGAGCTTGGGAGCCAAGCCACCCTGAAACCTCTCTTGGATGGGCTTTGTTCAAAGAGAAACAGTTCTTAAGATGACGAGTGAAGATGGTAAAGAAATAGCACTGTTGGGTTCACTTCCAGTCTTTCTTCAGGGGGCTGTCCTTAACCCTCTTCAGTGATCCTGAGATGCCTGTGCAGGAGTTGGAGCCAACCAGTGAAGGTCTTGTTTTTCAGAGACTTCAACCTTTGGAGTCCAAGGAAAATAAAACCTGTGTCTCATGTCCTTTATCCCACAGGGACAAGGCTCATCCTCACATCCCCCTCCCCTGTAACCACAGCTCTGTGGCAGAGCAGGCCCTCACCCCACATGGGCACGGGCTGGGGGCAGCAGCTCCTCCCAGGGGACAGCCCAGCTCCGGCCGTGGGGAGGGACCGTGCCCACAGCCCGTGTGCACCTGGGATGTTTGCACTCCCCAGGTCCCCGGGAAGATGGATGAGAACGATTTCGTAGCGGTGACCAGCACCAACGCTGCCAAGATCTTCAACTGCTACCCCAGGAAGGGGCGCGTGGCTGTGGGCTCCGACGCAGACCTGGTGCTCTGGAACCCCAAGGCTACGAAAATCATCTCAGCAAAAACCCACCATTTGGTAAAACATATTCTAAATCATTTTCCGGGGCTGGGTTTAGAGTCAGGAGAGATCTGGAAAGCAATGCATGTCCTTAGCTCATTCAGCAGGGGAGGAGTTGTCTGTGTGGGTAAACTGATGAAGGACCTTGCATTTGTTTTTTAAAAAAATAGGAAAATATCCTTTTATTGCTGTAAAGGGTGGGATTGGTACTGAGTGACCACTCCAAGACAGCTGGCATCTTGTAAGGAAATCTTAAGGTCAGTGTATTTGCTGTGGACTAGAAAAATGTAGGTGCTGAACTGAAGTATTGAACCAATGCTGAACTGCAATGTATATTAGTTATAGTTTAATATGTATTGAACTATTGCTATAGTTTAATATACAAGGGTATTAATATTAATACAATAAAAAATTTAAATATTCCGTAAAGAATATATAAATAATATAATCATATAAATAAAATGTAATAAAAGTATTAAACTATTGCTGTAGTTTAATATGATTGGTTTTAAGGTTTATTTTCTCCCTTCCAGTTTGCTTCCCGTTGGAATCTTGTTATTTGAAATATGGGATATGGAGGGTTAGTTAGTTCTGACTGATGGTGCACGAGGAGCAGTGTACAAAAATGGGGAGCATTGTTGGCCTCCTCTTAAATCCTGCAGGCACTGAATATCAGGGTTTGCTTTTTTCAGAACGTGGAGTACAACATATTTGAAGGCACTGAGTGCCACGGGGTCCCAACCGTGGTCATAAGTCAGGGAAGAGTTGTCCTTGAAGACGGAAATCTGTGTGTCGCCCAGGGCTCAGGTCGCTTCATCCCTAGGAAGACATTCCCTGACTTCGTTTATAAAAGGATAAAGGCAAGAAACAGGGTAAGGAGAGTTTTATGTGCCATAATCCTGTGTTTTGATCACAATCTCTCAGCTGTAGTGTATTGGAGCCATTGTGATGGCAAACCTGCGACAGCAGCAGGAATATTATCAATGCCATTCTTTCTGTGTGTTACTGCCTGGCACCTCAGCCAAGAATTCTTAGTATTAGTGCTAATAATGACAGTTTCATTAGCCTATTACAATGTTACAAAGCAAAAATATGACTTCTTTGTATTGATGTAGAGGGAGGAATTCCTCTCTTACCTGTGCTAGGGAAGTTTCTGTTGCTGTATTCCCAGTGTCTGCTCTGCAGCCTTTGGAGGGTAAGGGATGTACATCCCTTTGGTACTGGAATACAGCAAGATAAATCCTCCTGCGTGCTGGCACAGCTCTTTAAAGAGACACAAAGACATGCAAATATGTAAAGAGCTTCTTAACAGCTCTGTCCTCCTTCCCTTTTCCTGTGCTATTGCAGACGCTGTAATTCTGCGTGCTACACAAAGGCAGAGCAGCAATCAGTAACTCAAATTAACTGCAGAGGCAGGAGCCTTGACTCTGGAGTGCCTCAGGGTGTCTGGGGTGCCTGGAGGGCAGGATGGGGCGTGCCAGCTCCCTGCAGGGTGGGAATGGGACCCAGAGAAGGTGTAGATGCCCCATCCCTGGAGGTGCCCGAGGCCAGGTTGAAAGTCCTTTTAAGACCATCAATTCCAGTCATTCTCCCAGGCCACTACTGCCCCATGTCCCCAAGAGCCACGTCCACACGGTTTTGAAATCCTTCTGGGGATGGGGAGTCCAGCCCTGCCCTGGGCAGCTGTGCCCGGGCTGGGCAGCTGTGCCCAGGCTGGGCAGCTGTGCCAGGGCTGGGCAGCCCTTTCCACGGAGAAATGTTCCCGTATCCAGCCTGACTCTCCCCTGGCACGGCTGGAGGCCGTTGCCCCGGGCCCGTCGGCCGTGCCCGGCCCTGGCTGACCCTGTGCTCCCTGTGCAGCTGGCCGAGGTGCACGGCGTGCCCCGGGGGATGTACGACGGGCCGGTGCACGAGGTGCCGGCGAGCGTCAAGGCGGCGGCGCCCGGCACGGCCTCGCGCGCGGCGCCCTGCGCCGGCAAAGCCGCGGCGCCGCCCGTGCGCAACCTGCACCAGTCCGGCTTCAGCCTGTCCGGTACGTGGGGCCCGCGGGGAGGGCTGGGTGGGGGCAGTGCCCGGGCCACGCTGGCCAGGAGGAGCTGCAGCTGTGTCCTGTGGCTGCGGCCAGGGGACCAAGCGCAGCGCAGAGAGCTCTAGAATGTTCTGTGGTATTTATGTCAATGCACAGAGCCTGTTTGGGGGCTCTGCTCCCAGGAGCCAGAGCAGGCAGTGATTCAGCATCATTCGTTCTGCAGAAACCTGCCCAGCAGCTGTCGGGAGCTTGGAAAGCCAATGCTCTGCCCTAAAACCACTTCCATAATGGTTTTTTAGCTGGCTGGATCACATGGGTCCCATATTGTTTGATAAATGTTACCAGTCCCCACATTTTATTATATACAAAATTTATTTCTAGGAAAGCCACTTATAAATCTTCCAGAAAGAAACAATGAAAAATTAAATTCAGGCAAATATAGCCATTCCAAACCGTGCCACGCTCATAGAGTGTCCAAAATGACATATAATGAAATTATTAGTATTTCCTGAGGAAATGTTTTGTGGCATTTAAGCAGTGGGAGTGCCCCGCTCTCTGCTCTCCCCAGGGTCACAGGCGGATGACCACATTGCCCGGCGCACGGCGCAGAAGATCATGGCCCCTCCGGGCGGGAGGTCCAACATCACCTCGCTGTCCTGACGCTGTCCCCGCGCCGGGACGGGGCCGCGCTCGCCAGCCCCTCCCTCGTAGGTAGAAAGTAGAGTGATCCCCGAGGTAGCGCTCCCCCCTGGGTTCTCTGTCCGTGTTCCTCCGCTAGCTGCTAGGAAAGCCCTTCCCCGTGCATGCGGCACCGCCACGTCCCCAGGGCTGCGCGGCCAGCCGGGCCCCTGCGGCCGGCGTGGGCATGAAGGCACATCCAGGCTGGATCACGCTCTTTTCCGGCAGCGTCCGCTGCCCGCTCTCCTCAAAGGACTTCCAACAGATGAGCACTTCCGTGGTTTCCAGCCAGAGCCCTCCGCCCTGGCCGAGCTCCCAGAGCCACCCCCAGACCGTGTGTGCCCCGGTGGGCACAGCTCAGGGCCGAGTCCAGCCCCGTGTCCTGGGCAGAGTGGTGCTGGCCCTCCAGGAGCCGGCCATGCCGTGGGCTGGTGTCCTTCTGTCAGCCTTGTTTGTTAAAGATCATTTATACGGTTTTTCAATAACTGAATACCCAATACCAGGGCTCGTTTGGAGGCCAGGTGCATGCAGCACACTTTTTTATAAAGATTATTCTAGCCCAGTTATTATATTTAAAGGTGTGTACACAGAGTGAATCTCTGGCTGCAGAGCCATGCATGTACCTCCAGGAATGGCTTTCCGTTCCTGCCTGCTCCTTGCTTGGAATAAACTTGGTTGGAAACCATGAAATGGTGGATCCACCCGAGTCCATTTTGTTGTTTTCTTCCTTTTCTTCTGGGTGAGGCTTCACCATCCCCTCCTGACTTGCAGGTTCCCGTGCCCCCCTTGAGGGGCTCGTGGTGGCAGTGTGGGCAGATCCCACCCTTCTCCTCAGCGTGCTCGGGGCTGTGCAGCCCCTGCCCCGTGGTTTGCAGATGAGCCCAGCTCCAGGAGTGGGGCTGGCTCCCCCTCGGCCCACGCTGGTTCTGCTGCTGGTGAGACATCATGGCATGTCCATGAGACACTGGCTTCCCGTGGACACTGCCAGGCCTGGGGCTCCAGCTCTGTCTGAGAAAGGGAGCAGGGGTTGTGGTGGGATCTGATTTGTGAGTGGGGGCTGGAGCCACACATATGGCAGCTCCAGATACATTAATCCATTAATTAGGAATGAACCCACAAATGTAAACCGGGGAGGGATTTAATTTTTTTGCTGGGGGTTTTTTGCTTTTTTTTGATTATCTGATATGACCTACATTTCACAGCTTAATGCTGCAGTAATTTCTGTGTTAAGCATATGGGAATGTATTTGTTTGGATGTTTTAGATGTAATTTTAATTTTAATTTAATTAATTTCATTTGTTGATTTTCTGATTTTCCCTGAAATTGCACCAATGCAATTAACATTTAGTGGAAGGTGTCCCTGCCATGGCAGGGGGTGGAATGAGTTGAGCTGTAGGGTCCCTTCCAACCCAAGCTATTTATGATTCTATGATCTCTTTTCATCCTGAATAGAGCTGAAATTACAGCAGTGGGAAATCCGTAAGGAATGGGAAAGATAGAAGTCACAGTCTGATGGCAGTGACCTCCCCATCACCCCAACATCCATGGGGTGACAGGGACACCCCAGCACCCCAAGCTGGTAAACACTTGGCAAAGGAAGTTCTGAGGTCCCCGTGCTGCAAATGTCCCTTTTGGCACAGTTTCTGGTTCGTGCCAGGCCCCCATGGCCAGGGAGGACCCAGCAGAGTCACTGCTGCCTCTCCCTCATCACCCAGTTGAGGTCCCTCCACGCTCTGTGCCAGCCGTTCCCTTGGGGAGGGAGGGTTGGCATTCATTCCCTCTGTCAGGGAGCTGCCCCGGGCTCTCCCAGCGCAGGGATCAGAGCCAGCAGCGTCCCTGCAGCTCCGCGGTGCCAGGAGAGGCTGAGCCCCTCAGCCGCCTGCCAGTGGAGCCTGCAGGAGCCATCCCCTGTGGCACCCACACGGTGTCTGGCCCTAATTCCTTGGGACAGCTTTCCTGCAGGCTCTGGGGCAGGGACACGGCGCAGACGCTCCGTGCCCTTGGCTGACGGCGCAGCCCGGGCCCTGCAGCACCACGGCCACCAGCGGGGAGCCCCGGGTCCCCAGGTGTGCCTGGAGTGGGGATGGGCCCCCGATTCCCTCAGGGCACCAGTGCTCCTCAGGGATGGACCCCCAGTTCCCTCAGGGCAGCAGTGCTCCTCAGGGATGGACCCCCAGTTCCCTCAGGACAGCAGTGCTCCTCAGGGAGCAAATGAGCTGGCAGGCAGGCACTGAACACCGTGCTTATCCCTGGTTTTCCATGCTCACTGTGTCTCTTTATTTTTATTTTGCATGGCTCCCCACTGCCACAGGGCAGGGTCAGGCCCTGGCCCAGGGTGCCCAGAGCAGCTGTGGCTGCCCCTGGATCCCTGCAGTGTGTAAAGCCAGGCTGGACTCTTGCCTGGCCTTGGAGCACCCTGGGACACTGGAAGGTGTCCCTGCCCGTGGCAGGGTGGAACAAGCTGTAATGTCCCTTGTCACAGAGCAGACCATTCTGGAATTCTGTGGTTCTGCATTTCCCTCACATCCAGCACCCTGATCAGCAGCAGGATCAATTGCAGCAGGTAAGAAAGACAAAGCTGGTTGATGAGCGTCGTTTGTCCCTGGCAAATTGCAGCTGCCACGGTTTAGGGTTTAGGCACAGTGGCGATGGCTCAGGGATGGCAGGCACCGAGCTCTCCTGGCTGCTGTGGGCATTTCTGAGCTCTCCTGGCTGCTGTGGGCATTTCTGAGCTCTCCTGAATGCTGTGGGCATTTCTGAGCTCTCCTGGCTGCTGTGGGCATTTCTGAGCTCTCCTGGCTGCTGTGAGCGTTTCCTCACCTCATCTTCCCCCCTTTTCCCCTGCCGTGTTTTCAGGGCTGTGCGTGGGAAGCTGCCCTCGCTCTGTGACCCTCACCTGTCCCCTGCCGTGCACAGCCCGGCTCGGTGGTGCCCCCGGTCCCTCGGGAACACCCAGCAGGGTGCAGAAGGGACGAGCCCATGCTCAGACGTGGATCAGCTCAGCCTGCACTGCTCCTTTGAAGTGAGCAGCAGCTCTGGGAGCTGCGTCTGTGCTGCAGCCAGCCGAGCAGCACGTTACAAGCATGACAAGACAAATCATTCCCGCACTGAGGGGGATCAAAGAGCAAAAGCGGAGACCTCCTGACACTTCCAGGGGTGCTTCTATTGAGGTTAAGATACAAAACCCGGGGCTGTGCGGGAAACACCAAAGCCCTGTGAGCCGTGGCTGTCCTGCCCTGGGTGCCGCAGCGAGGTCGGGGTCCTGCCCCTGCCTGCCCCACCCTGGTGCCCCCAGCACGGCTGGCAGCGGGGCTGGAGTGGGCACAGCTGTGCCAGGCCAGCGTTCAGACACCTCCGTGCTTTCGTGCATCAATACCCTGGAAATTACACCAAATCCTTGGCAATGTTAAAAATACACATTTATTACTCCACGTGTGCAATGGCGCTATTCCGACGGTATCTGCAAAAACACAACCTCGTCATAAAATTAAATATTCTGTGATGTGGTAAAATTGTCATGCAAGAAAACTACGGGAATGTATCAACATAAAATACAAAGATATATTTACATATATCTGCACTGAAATAATTTTTAAAAATACCCTCCCAAGGCAGCAGGATTTCAGTCCAGGGTCAAGTCCATATTACTAATATTTTTGCTATTATTTTATTACTCTTAGACTCTTTTTGGCAAGCTCTGGAGTAATAGAGAATTGGCAACAGAAGAAACATCAGGACCTGACCTGCCATTTGTCTTATGCACCAAATTCCCAGTGAAGGCTGTGGAATTCAATGCAAACACTTAAAAATATGCAACTTTGCAAAACTTCATAACACAACAGAGATAAGAAAACAGTCTCATGGCAAGTGATTAAAGGAGAATAATTTATAGGTGCTGTAGACTTTTCACAGCAGATAATGGCACACACTGTATAAATCTGTCATACAAAAAAATACAGGTATTTAAATATTTATGTACAGAAAATTCCTGTGTTCTGGCTGTAGTGGAGGTGCAGCCCAGAGCTGTTAGTGACACCTTCCAAGCTGGGACGTGGGAGCAGGGCTCTGTCACGACTTCACTGTGAGGTTTGCTCAGCAGCAGCAGCAGCCAGGGCTCAGCCAGAGCAGGGGCACCACCATGGGCACCACGCCCATCCTTTGTCCCCATCCCCAGCCCAGCCTGTGCCAGCAGCCAGGGAGTGGCACAAGGGAGGAGAGAGGATCAAACGCCCAGGACTGCCTTGTGGATGGGGTGAGCTGGACATGGGACACCCTGGCAGGAGCCACAGAGATGTGTAGGGCCAACAGGACCGAGCTGGGCTCAGCTGGCACTGCCTCCTCACAGGGACACAGCAGTGGGGACACAAGAGGGGCCCAGAGTGGGGCACGGGGGGCAGGAGGCCCCAGAGCACTGAAACCCTCCACAGGGGCTCTGACAGTAACACTGAGCTGTTTCCTATCACTTGTCCCTTTTCCAATTGCTCTTTTCATGCCATTTCTTGTCCAGGGACTGACTGCAAACAGGTATCAATGAAACCTTGTCCCCTGTGGGCTCTGGTGAGGTTATGCCCAAATATTATTTAAGACCAAAACCAAGCACTTGAGTGATTTGTCCATGGTTCTCTCCCACACAGCACAGTGACCCCACAGCTCTGTCTGCTGCTGCTCTCAGGGATTCAGGTTCAACAGTGCCCCAGCACATCCCTGGAGATGCACTGCAGGATTCCAGGGGTGGCAGGACCCACCCAGAGTGTTTCCCCTGGGAAGGAGCCATTCCCTGGCACCCCCCCAGAAGCCCTCCTGGTTTCTGCCAGGTGCTGCTGAGCTGCTTTGCACAATGCACTGGAGGAGTGCTGCAGGGGGAGCAGGTGACTGACAGAGAGGGCTTGGGCTGAGAAACCTCAGTTTCAGAAGCAAGCCAGCTCCTTCCACACACACCGACCCTCACTGCAGGGCCCACTGGTCTCTTGTCCTAAGGAAAGTAATGAAAACATCAATTACACACGTCCTGGAACTGCCAACACCTCTCCTGGCCTGAGAGCTTCTGGCTGAAGAGGATGTATCTTCATCACTCATCTGTGGGATGGTTTGGTCAAAAAATCAGCACCGCTCCTCGTCATTCCAATAGTCCAAAATTTTGCTGTTATTTACAGGAACTTTCTAAATAATGCAATGGAATTCACTGTAAAACCCCACTCACACTGCTGGAGTAAATCACCTGTAATACATAACTCCTGAATAAATACATGGTTTGAGCCTCATCTGCTGTGGCAGGACAGAGCTGGTGCTCCAGCTGAGATGTGGGATGGAGACACAAGGTGAGCACAGAGCCCCGGGGAGAGGACCAGGCTGCCCGTGTGGAGCAGGGCTGCTCAGCACACAAAGGTGAGCTCTGGCAGGTGAGAAAAGGTAATCAGGCCTCCCTGGTAGCCAGCAAAGAGACTGGAAGTTACTGGGGGCAGGGAGGGCAGGTTCCCCCAGCACTGCCTGGGATCAGAGCCAGGGTAGCACCCTCCTGCAGCTGGGAGAAGGAGCAGGAGGACACAATGATTTCAGCCCTCACTCAATCACTGGCCACAGCCCCTGAGCCATCGTTAACACAGCTCCTAACGAGGCACGGGGTGTGCAGGACCCATGGCTGACACCAGGAACCCCGGGCCTGACAGCAGCTCCTGGTTCTGCCCTGAAAATAACCATGCCACTGGACCCAGAGCTTCAGCTCCCCTCCTCCTGCACGCCCTTAAAGGCTTCCATGAAAACACATCCCTGCACAAGTGGAGCCACACACTGATTCCCACATAAAACTGTGGGAGACACACGTGCCATGTCCTTGCCTGTGGAAGATCATTTTGTACCATTCTGCCTTTCTGGTTTGTTCATGGAAACAAAAACTGCAGCAAAACTGGTCCTGCCAGAATGTGATCTGTCAGAAACATCTCCCATCCATTTCTGCATCAGGAATAGCCAGCAGGGATGCAAACACTGCAGCCTCCCAGCGTCTGGCAGCAAACAGCTGCTGGTGGTTTGATGGTGCCTGTGGTGCCACCACGCACCTGGAGCAGTCGTGTGGCACTGCAGGGCTCACAGGGTTCAGCCACAGCAACCAAACCCCCCTGCAGCAGCTTCAACAACTAATACAGTGAAGGCCCCTGGAACAAGAAAGGCTCCCACAGCTGGAGCAAGGGAAGATTTCCCGTCTTATTAAGAAGTTAAGACAGGTATTGGCAAATTATATACAGTACTTGTACTTTACACTGAAAATAAAGTAAATCGAAGGTGAAGGGTGTTTCATAACCAAGCAGCCTTGCAAGGCCACCCGCTCTGCCTCCAACCAAACCTCACCTGTGATAAACTGTGTCCTCTGAACCTGGGCACATGGGGGCAGACCCTCCAACCCACCCCACTGCTCCTCACTGCCTGCAGCAGCCACATCAAGGAAGAAAACATTTTAAATGTTCTGCATCTCAAATATGCATTGAACCATTACCCAGCCCCTGCAGAATCCACGGAGTGCACAAAAACATTTATTTGCCTTGAATCGGGAAAGGAACTGACAGGTGACACAGGGACAAGGAGGTGCCTGGGACATCCTTGTGCTGCAGGACCCAAGCAGCTGGAGGCTCCCGGGAGCTGGTGCCAGAGAGCCCCTGGTTTGCACAGGGACTGCCCATCCCCAGAGCAGCATTTGTGAACAGGAGCGCCAGAGTGGAGCCCACATCGCCTCTCTGGCCTCGCTCCCTGCTCCGTGTCTCCCTGCTCCTGGTCTCTCCTGTGGGACCCAAGGACATGGCTTCATTCCCTGTCCTCTCACTGCATTAAAAACGTGTAGATCAGCAACCTGACGTTAAAACAGAAAGACTAAATAAGTTGATCTCCTCCCCTGACAAGTTGCATAGGCCGCATCTTCCCCGACAGGCAGCCATGGTGCCGGCCTGGCGATCCACGGCCGGGGCAGTCCTGTGGGAACTCTGCTTGCTCCAGCTCTCAGGGGGAGCTGGGCTGGTGATCCACGGCCGGGGCAGTCCTGTGGGAACTCTGCTTGCTCCAGCTCTCAGGGAGAGCTGGGCTGGCGATCCACAGCCGGGGCAGTCCTGTGGGAACTCTGCTTGCTCCAGCTCTCAGGGGGAGCTGGGCTGGTGATCCACGGCCGGGGCAGTCCTGTGGGAACTCTGCTTGCTCCAGCTCTCAGGGGGAGCTGGGCTGGTGATCCACGGCCGGGGCAGTCCTGTGGGAACTCTGCTTGCTCCAGGGGAGCTGGCCTGGCCTAGCTGCTGCCCGAGGAGCACACGGAGCTGCACATGTGCAGGGGCTCGGCCTCGGCCTCCTCGGCGGTCTCGGAGGCAGACACAGAGTCGCTGGGCGGCTCTTGGCTCTTCTTTAGCCTGTGGGAGTGGAGGACAGGAGTCACGGAGCTGTCCCCCAGCACACACCCCAGCAGCGGGCGTGGGGTCTGCCCATTCCCTGCTGAGAGTGCCTACGGCAGAGCCACGCAGAACGAGTCCTCCCAGAGCCACAAACGGGTCATGACGGAGCCCAGCGCATCAGCAAACCACACTGAACTGCTCTGAAACCCCAAAACAGCCTGCAAGGCTTCAGCCCACCCAGACCTTGGCCATGAGCACCCACAGCTCAGCCAGGCTCCTGCCAGCCCCTCCTCCACGGAGCCTGCCTCACGCTCTGCTCACGGAGTGGGAACTCTGCTTGCTCCAGCTCTCAGGGGGAGCTGGGCTGGTGATCCACGGCCGGGGCAGTCCTGTGGGAACTCTGCTTGCTCCAGCTCTCAGGGAGAGCTGGGCTGGCGATCCACAGCCGGGGCAGTCCTGTGGGAACTCTGCTTGCTCCAGCTCTCAGGGAGAGCTGGGCTGGCGATCCACAGCCGGGGCAGTCCTGTGGGAACTCTGCTTGCTCCAGGGGAGCTGGCCTGGCCTAGCTGCTGCCCGAGGAGCACACGGAGCTGCACATGTGCAGGGGCTCGGCCTCGGCCTCCTCGGCGGTCTCGGAGGCAGACACAGAGTCGCTGGGCGGCTCTTGGCTCTTCTTTAGCCTGTGGGAGTGGAGGACAGGAGTCACGGAGCTGTCCCCCAGCACACACCCCAGCAGCGGGCGTGGGGTCTGCCCATTCCCTGCTGAGAGTGCCTACGGCAGAGCCACGCAGAACGAGTCCTCCCAGAGCCACAAACGGGTCATGACGGAGCCCAGCGCATCAGCAAACCACACTGAACTGCTCTGAAACCCCAAAACAGCCTGCAAGGCTTCAGCCCACCCAGACCTTGGCCATGAGCACCCACAGCTCAGCCAGGCTCCTGCCAGCCCCTCCTCCACGGAGCCTGCCTCACGCTCTGCTCACGGACCAGAGAGCCCCAACCTGGGGAAACAGCGGCTTTAACCCAGCACTTTCACTGCCTGCTTATTCCCACCAGGGACTTTTCCAGCCTGAATGATCCTGTCAATCTATTCTATGTGCTAAAGATCTCCACAATCATTGAGTCCAACCTTCCTCACCTTCATTTCCCAAAACATCATCTGCTAAAAGCAGGATGGGTGAGGAGGTGCCACGGGGGAGCAGAGGCAGTGTCACACACACATGTTAAATCCCAGAAGACTCTCTAGAGCATATTTTATGTAATGGCAGTTAATAATCCTTGATCTTGCCTGGTTTGTGGCTAGAGCCATCTTTCATACACAGGCAGACCTGAGCTGACACCAGTCACCTGGGGCTAAGCCAGCAGCAAGGTGCTCCTGGCTGTCAGGCACTGGCACTGATTCCTAAGGAAAGTCAGAAAAAGGAGTATTTTTCCCTAAAAAAAGCACCCCACACACTCACTTCTCTCTGTTGAAGATGACAAAGTCCTGCTGGATGGCTTCAAGGCATTCCTGGAGATAGTCATTTTCCTATTGAAGAAAAACAAAACATGCATAAGCAGCCCCATTTGCATCTCGTTGCTGCCCGCAGCCCCCAGCACTCCCAGCTGTGGGCAGGAGCCTCCAGCTGTGGGCAGGAGCCCCCACCCCCCTGAACCTCAGCCCAACAGCTGGAGGCAGCAGGGCTGGTGGCCATGTGGATTGCACCAGGGGCTGGTGCCATCCGTGGCAGCAGTTTTCCATAAAACACAGATCACTCCGTTCCTGACACAAACATAACTGGTTTCTCCATGTATCCTGTATTTTGGGAGTGCTGTCAGCCCAAAGGAAGCTCAGGCAGTGTGGGGGGAGCCAGCACACAGCCCATGTGTGGGAGTCCCTGCCAGGGCACACAGGGAGCTGCTGCCTCGTGCCCAGCCCGGGGCTGTGCAGGGACACAGGCTGAACACACTGGGCTGCCCAGACTCTGCTGCTCATCTCACTTTCCACAGTACCCACTACTGCAAAAGTTTGGTCAGACTTCCATAAGAGGAATATGTGGCTGTTGAAACAGCTCCACGGGCAAATGTTTTCATCCAAATAAACCCATGGCTCCCAGAGCACGGCTGTAACAGCTGCAACACCCGCCCAGATCCAGCCTTTTCCCAGCTGCATGTTACCCCAGGGAGCACATACAGACTGGGAGCTGTCTTTGCTGTTATCCCTTGACTTGTTCTTTGCGAGCCTCTTCTTCTTCTTGTGCAGGGGCCTCGACTCCAGAATCATCTCCTCCAGCTCGAAGGTGGGGTCACAGTGCAGGCGGCCCTTCTGCCGGGACACAGGACACCACTCACGTCAGGCACAGCACACTCAGAAAGCTCTTCCCCCTCAGGAAACCTCTGTCCTCACACACAGTGGCTCCTGCGGCGAGAGGAGCAGCCCTGCTCCCTGCTCGGGACGGGACAGGGTCCCTACTCACGTTGGGGACGAAGGCTGGCTCCACGCGCTTCTCGCTCACGTCGCTCCACACCACGCCCGAGAGCTGAGCCGAGGCCTGGATGTGCGCCAGGCAGGAGAAGCGATGCTCGGGGTTCACTGTCAGCAGCTGGGGAGGGAAAAGCATCGCTGACACAGCGCTGGAGAGAAGAGCATTCCTGCCAGAGGAGGGAGGCAAGGCAGCCAGCAGCAGCCTGCCTGGGCCAGCTGCAGGGCTCAGCCTTTCTGCTGGGGGGAATAGATAACTTACTGCAGGAAAAACACCCAAGAAAATGTTCTGCAGGTACCCCGGCGCTCTGGGGGGACACGGGGGTCCCCTCCCGGCTGAGGGGGCTGCTGGCACATGCCTGCTGAGGGGCTGGATTCCCTGGAAGCCCGGCTGCCCAGCAGATGGCAATGCAAATCCGCCGAATGCGCCGTCGCAGCCTCTGCCAGCAACTCCTCATTAAGCTGAATCTAATTATGCAAATTGCCCACCCAACATTAACTCGTATCAGAGGCACTTATTTGCTGTCGGCACCGGCTGTATCTTTCCTACAGCAAACTCACCAGCTACTTTTCAGATTTCTTAAGGAAGCTAAAGCTAAACCAGTGGCCCCAACACATCCCAGCCTTCTCCAGCAGCAGCACAAGGAAAGCAGCAGAGCATTCCACAGAGCTGGAACTCCCAGCAGCTCTCACAACCCCGTCAGACCCTTCAGCCCCAAAGAAGGAGCAAGAGGGAGCAGCCAGTGCTGCAGTGCAGCTCCACCTCAGCTGCCATCCCAGCCAGAGGTGCTGCCTTTCCAGGTGACACTGACCATGGAGAGGATGGGATGCTAGAAGGCACAATTCTAGCCCAGCTGGGAATCTGTCACACCAAAACCAGCCTTTTTGCTTCCCTTCCTATCAAACATCATGCATCTTATTACAGGGATCATAAACACACAACACATATAATTAATCATAGAGTCCCAGACTGGATTGGGACCAGTGCCACACCCCTGCCATAGCATAGACCTTCCCCTGTCCCAGCTGCTCCCAGAGGCACAATTCTAGCCCAGCTGGGAATCTGTCACACCAAAACCAGCCTTTTTGCTTCCCTTCCTATCAAACATCATGCATCTTATTACAGGGATCATAAACACACAACACATATAATTAATCATAGAGTCCCAGACTGGATTGGGACCAGTGCCACACCCCTGCCATAGCCTAGACCTTCCCCTGTCCCACCTGCTCCCAGCCCCAGTGTCCAGCCTGGCCTTGGGCACTGCCCGGGATCCAGGGGCAGCCCCAGCTGCTCTGGGCACCCTGTGCCAGGGCCTGCCCACCCTGCCAGGAACAATTCCCAATATCCCATCCATCTCTGCCCTCTGGCAGTGGGAGCCATTCCCTGTGTCCTGTCCCTCCATCCCTTGTCCCCAGTCCCTCTCCAGCTTCTCCTGGAGCCCCTTCAGGCCCTGGCAGGGGCTTTAAGGTCTGTCTGGAGCTTCTCTTCTCAAGGCTTAACATCCCAAACTCTCCCAGCCTGTCTGTTGTATATTATTATTATTACTCTTATTATTCATTGTTTATTAACACGCTGATAATTTTCCAGCTAGTCCTGCCTGCCCAGAAGCTGCCATCCAACCCAAACCCACCCCAGAAGGACAATGCATCCAACAATCCCTCCAGCTCCACCCCAGAAGGGCCATTCACCTTCCGCAGCAGCGCGACCATTTCCTTGGACCAGGCTGAGGAGTACTGGACGCTGACGGTGCTGAAGAGCTGCACCAGAGACTCCACGGGGTTGTTGGAGTGGATGTCGTACGGCCTCTGGGGACAAGAGCACACAGGTGAGGATGCCCTGTCCCTCCGGGCCGGCCGGAGCACGCGGTCGGAGGGCCGGGACGGCCGGAGCCCTACCCAGCCCCGCAGCAGCTCGTAGGCCATGATTCCCAGAGACCACCAGTCCACCTCGAAGGAATAGCCCGTGCCGCCGCTCAGGAAGGAATGGAAAATCTCCGGGGCTGAGCAGAAAGGCATAACACACAACAGGTTATTTGTTGTTCTCCACTCCAGCAGCTCATATAAGTCAGTGTGCAATGCTTAGGGTGATCTTTCTGCACGGCTGCCCCAGGGCAGGCTGTGTGAGGCAGGGGAGCAGCAGCCGTGTGCCGGCCCTCACTGGGAACTGGGATGTCAGCACCCGCAGGGACAGCCCTCCCAGCACAGGACAGCACAACCACGGGGCTCCAGGAGACACCAAGTGCAAGGAGCCAGAGAGGGATGGGGAGCGCAGGAGGAGCGGGCTGGATGGGATGAGGAGGGCAGGGAGGGATGGAGGGGAGTGGACAGGATGCAGTGCAGAGGGCAGGACAGGATGGGATGGGATGGGGTGACATGCCAGCCCCGATGCCTTCACACTGGGAGCTCCCCTTCTCAAACAATCGGGCTCTGCTGAACCCCTTGGACACGAGCACCAGTGTCCTAAATGAACTGGGGGGCCCTGGCTGGGGCAGCACGTGCTGAGCACGCAGAACATGACACAGGCACGAGAGCACTGATTGTCTCTTACCCATGTATGGCTTTGTCCCAGCCAATGCTGTCGCTCTTTCACCGTCCCTAATGATTGTTGCAATATTAAAATCTGTTAAATGGGCATGACCTTAAATAAAGACACATTTTAAGAAGGAATTAATGGCAGTGCAGTGGCAATGCAGAGTCAGAATACATTTGTTTCATAAGCTCCTGCCCTCAGACAGGGTAGCAGAAACGGGCAGGTCAGGGTCAGACCCCGTGGCATGGCCATGGGAGATCCCAAAGGTTTCCCAGGATTTGGGCTGGCCGGTGATTAAAGGGTAGGGAGCTTTGGGTTTTGATTTTAAATCACACTTGGAGCTAGCCAGTAACCCCCAGCAGATTCAGCACTAGCCAGATTGCTCTGGCCAGAAGTACAGGAGTGAAAATAACACCAGGGAAACACTATCATAGAACCACAGAATGCCTGGGTTGGAAGGGACTTAAAGACCATCTCGTTCCAAGCTCCTGCCTTGGAGCTATCACTAGGCATGGGTGCTCCAAGCCACTGAACTGCAGTGACTCCAAATTCCCAGGGCTGAAGTCAGGCTGACCACAGCACACTGGACTGGACAGCTGGGTGACCCTCCCCACATTAAAAAGCACAAGGATGTTCAGCCAAACATGATCCAGTAAAAGCAGAGCAGCTTTTCCCACACTTTCCCCAGGTAAAAAGATGCCCAGTACCCGGGACTACAAAGAATCTGTCCCTGGAATGAATGAGGGAGCAAACAAAGAGGAGCAGAGTGATCCTACCTTGTTCATCGAGGAGGATGTTGTCTGGCTTTACATCTCTGGGAAAAGAGGGAAGATTACAGCAGATGGAATCTCAATCAGACCAGGGATGAGACTCAATGACAAAAATCCTGCAACTGTTTATCTATCAAAAATTAGGAACAAATAAAACAAAAATATTCTAACATGAGGCAAGCCCCCTTATGTGGACTAGAAATAAGCTTTTCCTAGGCAACTTGGTGAAAAACTGGAAGGATTAGACTTGTTCAGGAGGGAAAGGAAATTCCCAAGGAAAAAGGAATAACAATACTGGGGATATTTGTGTGAAGCTCTCGATGGCTTTAACTCCTACCCTGAAAAGTTCAGTCCCCAGTGAAGCACCAGACCCCCTGTGAGTGGTGGGGGGCAGGAGCAGCACGGACCATGAGCCACCCCAAGGGCAGCAGGCCCAGCAGAGCCTGGAGTTACCTGTGGATGATGTGCTGGCTCCGCAGGTAGTCGAGGGCCAGCGCCATCTCACAGATGTAGAGTTTGACTGTCTCCTCAGTGAACTGAACGTTCTGCTGCAGGTGGTAGCGCAGGTCACCTCCCAGGAGCAGGTCCACCACCATGAACATGTCCTCCTCGTCCTGGAAGGAATACCTGCAGGACAGGGGAGCAGCTGAGCCTCCCAGGGCTCACAAACACAGCCAGGCTTTTCCCCTCTCCCAGTCACACAGCTCCAGGAGAACTGCACGTGACCCCACTGTGGGCACAGAATCCCACAATCGGTTGTGCTGGAAAAGCTCTCTCAGACCTTCGAGTCCAACCATTCCCAGCAGTGCCCAGGCCACCACTGCCCATGTCCCCAGCTGCCACAACCGCATGGCTTTTAAATCCCTCCAGGGATAGGGACTCCATCACTGCCCCGGGCAGCTGTGCCAGACCTGGGCAGCCCTTTTGGATAGAAAACTTTCCCTAATTTCCACCCTGAGCTGCCCAGGCCCACGGACAGCTGTGCCAGAGCTGGGCAGCCCTTTTGGATAGAAAACTTTCCCTAATTTCCACCCTGAGCTGCCCAGGCCCAGCCTGAGGCCATTCCCTCTGCTCCTGTCCCTGTTCCCTGGCTGTCCCCTCCTGGCAGGAGCTGTGCAGAGCCACAAGGGGCCCCTGAGCCTCCTGTGCTCCAGGCTGAGCCCCTTCCCAGCTCCCTCAGCCTCTCCTGGGGCTCCAGCCCCTTCCCAGCTCCATTCCCTGCTCTGGACATGCTCCAGTCCCTCAAGGTCCTTGCAGTGTTGGGCCCAAAACTGAAGATGCAGCTTTGCTGCTTGCACCTTCGCAATCAAGCATGCCCAACTCAAGATGCTTGCTTGTTTTTTAAATCAATTCTTACACTAAGCAGTGCTCCCTGCTCACCCCATCACTGTCCCTGAGCAGCTGTGCCATGTCGGCCCACCAGCACACAGCTCAGGCTCTACCAGCCAGACACTTTAGAGAAACTTCACATTTTCAACTGCAAACAATCTCATAAAACCTACTTAAAATATCCCAGCCTATCCTGAAGATGAATTGGAAAACACAACTGCTAATTTAACCAGATAAACCAGAAAAAGAGATTTATATTTACAGTGGAGTAAACCGCCTCTCTAAATGTGCCGTGGGTCCCACGGGAGACTGACAGCAGTGGGGATACACCAAAACAACGCTCATTGTTATATTTGGTGACTGCAGATCCAAGGAAAGAGTATGTGGGATTGTATAATACTTATGAATCACTCACTTCTGCTCCCATCTTAAATGTAGGTTTACTCTAAAACTATGAGCCAAAAGGGTTTGCTACGAGAGCAAGTTCTCTCCAGAATTTCATTGCTTGTTGGGAAAAATGTTTACAATTGCTGAGAAACTGAAAAATATCAATATTAACTCAATTGGCTATTCTGGAGCAATGGATCAACAAAACAAATGTGGCACATCACCCACTTCCATCACTTTGGGTATAAAACCTCCTCAATTTTTAGAAGTCTCTCCCTCCCCACCAGCCTGGCACACATGCAGCACTGCTGGAGTGGGAGGGGACCCTTCACTGGGCAGGAAGGCTGAGAAAGGACAGAGCACTGGAGCAGGGGGTCCCAAGGCCTCTGCCTAGGGCTCACCCCAAACTAACCGACACTAGGATGTAATGCTCTACTTTCTAAAACTGTCAGTTAGCTTTTCCTGCCAAATCTGACAATGATGTGTCTGAGCTCCAAAGCAATGTGTTTCATTTGGCCAGTGAGTGTGGTGCAAAGCACACCGAGGGATGTGGTGGGCTGCGGGGTCGATGTGGTTGTAGGGCAGACGAGATGGACTGCAGCCTTTGGTGCTGCCACTGCCTAGACAGGATACATTTCCCAGGCATTGCCAACTCTAGCTATTTGTTAGATTTCAACCTGATTTTAAGAGTGTTTTTTTAAAGTATGTGTTGCTCAGTAATGAGGATATTTCTGCCAGTGCACACAGAGTGAAGTCATTATTGAGCAACTTGAAATGCCACTATTTGTAGAGATCTGCTGCTGAAAAAGTTAGGAGAGCCCCTGGGATTATTGGGTGTGTGGGGAGGGAGCTGCTCACCAGAGATTCACCAGGAACACGTGCTCGATCTCCTGCAGGATCTCCAGCTCCCGGAACACGTTGCGCACCTCGTCCCTCTCGATGCACTGCTGCTTGTTCATGTACTTCATGGCGTACATCTTCTCCGTGTCCCTCTTCTGCACGATGCACACCTGGGCCGGGACGAGAAAACAGTCAGGAGAAAGTTCCACATCCTCAGCTGCTGCTCTGGGAGCTGAGACGCACTCTGCTCAGCACCTCACCCCTCAAACATCCCTGGTCCCTAGGCTGACCTGGACCTACGGACAGCAGCATCCCTGCTCTGGGGAGCGCACGGGCCCTGCTCCAGCCCACTGCCCGTCGGGTACTGCAGCTGCCTCCAGGGCACGACAGCCGGCTCCGGAGGGCTTTCCAAAGGGACAGCTTTTCCAACAGCTGTGTCCGGGAGCTGCGGAGACCTCTGGGCTCGCTGTGTGTGGATGGAGAGCGGCACTGGCAGCCACAGGGCGCGCTGCCAGCCTCGCCGCCCGCTGCTCACACCGCTGCTGCCCAGGCCGGCCCGACCTGCCGCACATCGCTGGGCTCCCTAGGGGAAAATAATCCCTCTGGGGCAGCAGAAAGCCACCAAAACGCAAACTGGTTACCACAAGGAAGAGCTGGCCCGCAGGGATACCCGGGGCTGTCCCCGGAGCCCCGCTCCGCCGCCGCCCTCAGCTCCGCTGATGACACCTTCATTACCAAGGTGACTGCTTCCCAAAGAGCTAATTAGCTATCACGGTAACTCTTTTTAAATTCCTAATGGCTTGTCTACATCTGCTGTAATTACGCCTGCCCTCTGTTAATTCCCAGACGTGGCGGTAATTAGGATGAGCTGGACAGGCTCCCTGCGCAGCTCGGCCGGGGCGGCTGCGGGCGCAGAGCGGGTGCGGAACGGGGAACGGGAATTTCCGTGGGTGGCAGGGAACCGAGACAGCCGGGAGCAGCGAGCACTCCGCGCCTCGAAACGCTGCCGCTAATAACCATCTGCAAGTGCTAATGGTGCTCGGTGTAATATCATCGGGGACACGCTGCCGCAAGGAGGTGACAAAATAATGGGTGGTTATCGTTAGCCTGATATACCCCCTAATTAGTGATGCACAGGGATTACCACGATTATTTTCCGCCGTGCTTACAACTGCGGTGAGAGCTGGAAATCAGCTGTTGCCATAACTCTCTGCACACCTCAGAGCTCACGATAAGGGCACCTCGTGGGCAGAGTGATCCGAGCTGTTTCCCTGCGTCTGGACCCCTCCGGTGCCCATGGGCGAGCAGAGCCCTTCAACTCCAGCTGCCAGGGACTGTTCCAGGTACAAAACACAAGGGAAAACCTTCTTCATGCAAACTTAATAATAATAATAAACGACCTACCACAATGCACACCACCAGCAGGATCCAGACCCTGCATAGAGCAGGCTGAATTGGTTGCACGTTCAATAAACCAGGCAAAAATAACTTCATATTTTATAAATTCTTTGAGCAGCAAAGCCCTAACAATTTTCCTTTAAAACATGGTCATTGCTGTAGAACTGCTCGGAAAACAATCCAGTCCTCTGGGTAACAGCCATCAAGGCACTGAGCAACATTCTCTCCTGATGTCAGCTTATTCCACATTATTGCTGGAAGCTCATTAATTTCTAGGCACTTTAATTTTTAGGTTGTGACTTGCTGTACCTTAACGAGTATTACATGTTATTCTGATGTCATTTGTCTCTTGTTTCTCCACAGTGAAAATGGGAGCCCAGCATAATAAATGAGAAAATGATGAAAACTTCATGTACTCTGTAATTATGATAAACAGTTTTCTGCAATGGAACAGCGTCACCTCCACACAGAGCAGCACCAGTTCCGGGCACTCGGGGAACGTTTGTTCTCTGATTTCTGTGGGAAAAGTGGATGCCAGTGGAGAGGCCCTGCCTGCAGCTGAGCCCGCGGTGTGAGCGGGGGCTGCCCTGTGACAATGAGCCCCAGGGACAGGGACAGCTGGGCAGGCACAGTGAGCCCCAGGGACAGGGACAGCCAGGCAGGGCACAGTGAGCCCCAGGGACAGCTGGGCAGGCACAGTGAGCCCCATGGGGCCCATGGACAGCTGGGCAGTGGTGCTGTGTCTGCAGCACAGCCACCACCAGGGACTGATCACATCACACTGCTCTTGGTCAGGGTCTAACTCGGGTCAAACCAACACCAGGGCCGGTGCTGGTGCTGCCTGGCTGGGCTCAGCCACTCGGTGCCCCTGCCACGGGCAGTGACCATTCCTAAGGTGCCCCTGCTTACAGAAATGCATGAATGTGTTTGTGTCCCCCAAAATGGCAGTGACACAAAAGGTATCTTTTTCTTTTTGTGCTTTTCTGTTCATGCATCTGTTCCTGGGGATGGAATCAATATCTATATGGTCACAAGTCAAGAGTGCGTTTTTGAAATGAATCCATTTTCAGGCAAGTCTACAGCGCGGAGCAAGGCAAGAAGCAGAAATGACTGTGTCCTCATTGTGCACATTGCAGCCACACAAAGGGAGTGTTTGGTGGTTAAATACAGCCATTAGGAAAATGCGTGGAACGGAGCCAGCCCCGCGAGGCAGAAGGCGGGCAGCAGCTGGAGCGGATTGCTCAAGACACGGCACAGAAAAGCTCTGACAGAGCCCCGGGTACCCGGGCACTGCACTGCCAGAGGGGGTGAGCAGCTGCCCGCCCCGCCGGGACGGCCGGAGCCCCCTCCCAGATCCAGCCACGACAGGCCAGGTGACACCTCCCGGGCCGAGACAGTGACAACACCTGTGCTGTTACACTGTCGTCATCTGTGCTCTCACAGTGTCAATATCTGTGCTGTCACAGCGGCTACACCTGTAGTGTCACAGTGACACCACCTGTGCTGTTACCCTGTTGTCACCTGAACTGCCACAGTGACAATACCTGTGCTGTCACAGTGACAACTCCTGTAGTATCACACTGTCATCACCTGTGCTGTCACAGTGACAACTCCTGTAGTATCACACTGTCATCACCTGTGCTGTCACAGTGACAACTCCTGTAGTATCACACTGTCATCACCTGTGCTGTCACAGTGTCAACACCTGTAGTGTCACAGTGACAACACCTGTAGTATCACACTGTCATCACCTGTGCTGTCACAGTGACAACACCTGTGCTGTCACACTGTCGTCATCTGTGCTGTCACAGTGTCAACACCTGTGCTGTCACACTGTCATCACCTGTGCTGTCACAGTGACAATACCTGTTCTGTCACAGCGACAACACCTGTAGTGTCACAGTGACAACACCTGTGCTGTTACACTGTTGTCACCTGGACTGCCACAGTGACAATACCTGTGCTGTTACACTGTCATCATCTGTGCTGTCACACTGTCATCACCTCTGCTGTCACACTGTCGTCATCTGTGCTGTCACAGTGTCGTCATCTGTGCTGTCACACTGTCATCACCTGTGCTGTCACAGTGACAATACCTGTTCTGTCACAGCGACAACACCTGTAGTGTCACAGTGACAACACCTGTGCTGTTACACTGTTGTCACCTGAACTGCCACAGTGACAATACCTGTGCTGTCACACTGTCGTCATCTGTGCTGTCACAGTGACAACACCTGAACTGCCACAGCGACAACACCTGTGTTATCACAGTCACATCACCTGTGCTGTCACAATGACAACACCTGAACTGTCACACTGTCATCACCTGTGCTGTCACAGTGACAACACCTGAACTGCCACAGTGACAACACCTGTGCTGTCACACTGTCGTCATCTGTGCTGTCACAGTGTCAACACCTGTGCTGTCACACTGTCATCACCTCTGCTGTCACACTGTCATCACACAGTGACAACACCTGTGCATATCTGTGCTGTCACAGCGACAACACCTGTAGTGTCACAGTGACAACACCTGTGCTGTTACACTGTTGTCACCTGAACTGCCACAGTGACAATACCTGTGCTGTCACACTGTCGTCATCTGTGCTGTCACAGGTTATCACAGTCACATCACCTGTGCTATCCCAGTGACATCACTGAACTGCCACAGTGACAACACCTGTGTGTCACCCCAGCTGGCAGCTCAGCTGAATCCCTTCCCTTCCCAGCCTGGCACGCTGCCTCCAGCAGGCTCTGCCTGTTCTTTAGAAATCCAGTAACTTTCTGCCCTGCTGATTCTGAAGGAATTCATCAGGCTGAAATCCCCACTCAGATGAGAGGTCACCCAATCATCTGACAGCATGTCCTGACTTAGCTTTGCTACCCAGGGAGAGCAGAGTTTTCCTGGGCTCAAGCAAAGCCATTCTGGGCAGGATCCATGCAGCTGGTAAGCAGTGGGGATTGCTCCACCTCGGCTGCACAAAGCCCTTGTTTCCTCCTGCATGTGCAGAGCCACCCAAAGCGAAGGTACTCGTGGTCCCTGAGGGGTGTCACCGTCACGGCTGGTGACAAACCCACAGCTGGCTCAGGGATCTGCCTTTGGGGCTGAACTGGGAGCACTGGGCTTCCTTCTTGAATTTCTGCTCCTTTGGCTTCTGCCTCTGTAAGACGAGACCGATGCCCTGTAATCCTCCCACACACAGACACGACTGCGGCTCAGAGCTGGGGACTTTTCAGTGTACAACCTGGATTTCACTCTTTTTGTTTCCAGAGCAGAGTCAAGGCTTACAGTCAGCCAACACTACCCACCCACATCAAACACCTTAATCCCACCCAGTTCTGAACCGTGGCCACTGCTCTAGTTTATAAAAATGCTTCTTTGCAGTGCTTGCACCTTGCCCACATATATTGATTTCTCCTCCAGCTTCTGCTGGGTATTTATCTCTCCCTGTTTTCCCCAATATCTACAGAACTGCCATTTGCCAGAAAGGCTGAAATTTGAAATGAGGAGCATTAACATTAAATTGCCCATGGCACCCAGAAGCATCAGCAGGCTCTGGGACTGCGTGGGGAAAGAAGCCTCTGCTGTGGGGGAAGCACGGCAGCAGCCTCGGGGAGCAGCCTCTGGAGATCTGCAGCCTCTGGAGCAGGAGGAACTAAGTCTTTCATCCTGAAGGACCAGAAGCAGTGAGAAGGCACTTAGCATGATGCAGAAACAGCTCAAGCTTTTTCGACAACTATTTAATCTTGAACACTAAGTTTTACTTTGGAG